TCACTCACTCACTCACACACTCACACTCACACACACACACACTCACTCACTCGCACGCACACACTCACTCACACGCACGCACTCACACAGACATACTCTCACACACACACACTCACTCGCACGCAAACACTCACTCACACGCACGCACTCACACAGACATACTCTCACACACACACACACTCACTCACTCGCACGCACACACTCACTCACACGCACGCACTCACACAGACATACTCTCACACACACACACTCACTCGCACGCAAACACTCACTCACACGCACGCACTCACACAGACATACTCTCACACACACACTCACACACTCACGCACACACTCACGCACACACTCACTCTCACGCACACCCTCGCACTCACGCACGCACACACACACACACACACACACACACACACATACAAAAATATGAAGCAGCAAATCAGCATATTATACTGATTTCTGAAGATCATGTTACATTGAAGTCTGGAGTTATGATGCTAAAAATACAGCTTTGATCACAGAAATAAATTACAGGTTTAACAGATATTCACATAGAAAACAGCTGTTTGAAATTATAATAATATCACTCACTCACTCACTCACACACACACACACTCACTCACTCACTCACTCACACACTCACACTCACACACACACACACTCACTCACTCGCACGCACACACTCACTCACACGCACGCACTCACACAGACATACTCTCACACACACACTCACACACTCACGCACACACTCACGCACACACTCACTCTCACGCACACCCTCGCACTCACGCACGCACACACACACACACACACACACACACACATACAAAAATATGAAGCAGCAAATCAGCATATTATACTGATTTCTGAAGATCATGTTACATTGAAGTCTGGAGTTATGATGCTAAAAATACAGCTTTGATCACAGAAATAAATTACAGGTTTAACAGATATTCACATAGAAAACAGCTGTTTGAAATTATAATAATATTTCAGACTTTTTACAGTATCGATCTAATAAATACAGCCTTGGTGAGCAGAAGAGACTCTTTCAGAAACATTAAACCATTAGAATTATTCCAGATGACGGTCCTCCTGTCTGAAGTGCGTGTGTTGTGATCTGCAGGGTGACGGGGATGTGCGGTGATATGGATTATCTGTCGTTGCGCTGGCTCATAGAGAATCATGATATTGTGGTGATGACGGCTCAGATCCTGGTGAACGCGCTGCAGAGCGCTGAGGTGCCGTCTCTGGAGATCCTGTCACTCATCCTGTTCGACGAGTGTCACAACACGACCGGAAAACACCCCTACAACAACATCATGACCCGCTACCTGGACACCAAGCTCAACAGCAGCACACACTCACTGCCACAGGTGCACAGCACACCAATGTACTCTATATTCTATTCTGTTCTGTTCTGTTTTCCATCCAACCAACTGCTTATCCTGTATAGGGTCACACAGATGCTGTTAAAGTAACACCCTGGATAGATTCTAATTTTTAAAATTATTTTATTTTATTTTATTATTTATTTTATGTTATGTAGGGTCACAGAGATGCTGGAAAACTAACACCCTGAATAGATGGCCAGTTCATCGCAGTCTATTCAGCCCTATCTTATCCAATCCTTTTTTCTTTTTTTTTCACCCAATATTATCCAATCCTGCTTTGTTTTATTTTTAAAAATGTATTATTTTATTTTATTTTATTATAACACCCAGTATATTGTCTTATCCAATCCTGTTTTGTTCTATTTTTAGAATTATTTTACTTTTTTATTTTATTTGATCATCTTACCTTATCTTACTTTACTTTACTTTACTTTACTTTACTTTACTTTACTTTACTTTACTTTATTTTATTTCATTTTATTTTCATTTTAATATTATCCAATCCTGTTTTGTTCTATTTTTAGAATTATTTTACTTTTTTTGTTTTATTTAATTTTATCATCTTATCTTGTTTTATTTTATTTTATTTTATCTTGTTTTATTTTATTTAAAATTTTATTTTATTTTAATATTATCCAATCCTGTTTTGTTCAAATTTTTTTAATGAATTGTTTTATTTTATTTTATTATAACGCCCAGCATATTGTCTTATCCAATCCTTTTTTGTTCTATTTTTAGTATTATTTCCTTTTTTATTTAATTTTATTTTATCATCTTATCTTATATTATCTTACTTTATTTTACTTTATTTTATTTTCATTTTAATATTATTCAATCCTGTTTTGTTCTATTTTTTTATGAATTGTTTTATTTTATTATAACACCCAGTATATTGTCTTATCCAATCCTGTTTTGTTCTATTTATTTTATTTTATTTTATTTTAACACCCACTATATTGTCTTATCCAATCTTGTTTTGTTCTGTTTTTAAAATTATTTTACTTAATTTATTTTTTACTTTACTTTACTTTACATCTTCCATCTTCCGAACTGCTTGTCCTATGTAGAGTCGTAGCTATGTAGAGTCCTTCATAGTCTTTTCTATTATATTCAGTTGTATTCTGTTCTTTTCTTATATCCGTGTCCTGATTGGTTTATAATCCGGCCTGTCTCAGATTGTGGGCCTGACCGCGTCGGTCGGCATCGGTTCATTCAAGAACGAACTGGAGGCGGAGAACAACATCTTACAGCTCTGTGCCAACCTGGACACCAGGGTCATCACCACGGTTACCGAACACAAGGATGAGCTCAAGTCATACGTGCACACGCCTGCGAAAGGTCAGCGCATACAATATACAATATACACACATACGACATTACCTATGACACATGATTATTAATGCCGTGTATGTGCGTGTGTCAGCTTTTTTTGAGGTTAAACAGTGCACGAGTCACCCCTTCATCAGAATAATCAAAAACATCATGAGTAACATCGAGCAGCTGGCGCAGAAGACCTACAACATCGGTGCGCAGTCCTCACCTGCACACGCATGCTGTACAAACACCGACACACACACTAACACACACGTGTCTCTGTGTGTCTCAGAGAGACTGTTGAACATCCAGAGCCACGAGTATGGCTCGCAGAAATATGAACAGTGGATAATTTCCGTTCAGAAGAGCTGCAGAGTCTTACAGATGAAGAATGCAGACGAGGAGAGACGCATCTGCAGAGAACTCTACAACTACACCGAACACCTGCGGGTCAGACAGACGGATAGATAGATCATTCAGCATTACAGTATAATTGAGAGCTATCAATTTTAACATTTATTAGACTTTTAAAAAAATAACAACTTTTAATTTAAGCGAACTTGAAACAACCTTCATATAAACCCATTATAATAAATGTCACATTTAGCTACCTGTTCACTTCAACAAGTAGGAAATTAAGTTAATTAAAGTTCAAACACTACATTCTCAATTAACAGACATCACAGCAGCCGGTGATCAGGTTATTTTGACTGCTTTGAGAGCTGAACATGACGCGGATCTGACACGCATCGTAGTTTCTCATAACTCTTTACCTTTTCTGACTCCCTTCAGCTCTTAAAGGGTTAGTGAAAATTCGATCATTATTTATTCACCCTCATGTCGTTCCAAACCCGTAAGACCTTCGTTCATCTTCGGAACACAAATTAAGATATTTTTGATGAATTCTGAGAGCTCTCTGATCCTCCCATAGACAGCAAGGTAACTACCACAATCAACGTCCAGAAACGTAGCAAGGCGATCTGTAAAATAATCCATGTGACATCAGGGGTTCAGCCGTAATTTTACGAAGAGACGAGAATACTTTTTGTAAGCATATAAAACAAAAATAACGACTTTATTCAACAATTCGTCTCCTCCTCGTCTCCCTGGTGCCATTTTGGAGAATATCCACTGAACGTAAACGTATGCTATTCTGTGTCAGCTGCGTCACGCGAATACGTTTTCTACGTTGTTTATGCTTTGATTTGAACGAAAACAACGTGACGCAGCTGACATAGAATAGCATATGCTGTTTATGTTCAGTGGTAGTTACCTTGCTGTCTATGGGAGGCTCAGAGAGCTCTTAGAATTCATCAGAAATATCGTAATTTGTGTTCCGAAGATGAACAGAGGTCTTACGGGTTTGGAACGACATGAGGGTGAATAATTAATGACATAATTTAAATTTTTGATAATGAGCTGAGGAGTTGAATCGGGTGTGTTAGATGAGGGAGACAGTGCTGCTGCTCCAGGACAGTTTAGAAAAATGTGACTTAAATAACAAATGCTTGCACGCACAGTTTTAGTGCAGCTTTAATCGCCTTTTTGGTAACTTCATGACTTAACTAAGACACTGCATGCTCGTAGTTTCTTATGAAATTATATATAGCACGCGCCGCCACAGACATATAGATAGACAGACAGACAGACAGACATATAGACAGACAGACAGACATATAGACATATAGACATATAGACAGACAGACAGACAGACATATAGACAGACAGACAGACATATAGA